ACTGTAATGCAGACATGTGTTGAAGAATATAAATAGTTAAAAACATATCTGTCATAAAAAGATACCTAACATGAAAACTATATAAAGTTTTGAGAACCTTATAGAAAGTGTGTGTGAGAGAGATTTGCCAAAGACATTCATCAGGAAAAGTTTTGCGAGTTATTGATGTGCATTTCTGATGTGACATTCACTTCTTGCAGTCTTACCATCAATTGGGCTAGATTGAAGCTACTTTCTCAAGAAATTAGAACTGGAACATCTTGAAATGAAGAATACCAGATATCTGAATTAAACAATAAGATACGGTGCACCATGAAGATCTTGGAGGGTGAAAAGAGGACGGACTAGTAAGAGCAGCATACTTGAGTAGCAAGAAGGCAAGAGGGTAGGGGGGAAGGGAGATGAGGAACTATTTATGGATGCCTACAGGTTTGCTTCATTCCATTCTCTTCTGTTTTATTCAAGTACTGCTCAACCAAGGACATTTGAGTAGTTCTTCAATATGAGTCCATATACAGTAGGCACTGTTGACCTCACTTGTTTACTTCCAACTTGCTCTAAAGTACAGGATATGCATCCTTAGTTTAAAGCATGCCTCTCACTCCCTTGCCAGAGCAGAATGCTTTGATGAGAGTGGAGGACAAATAAAAAACTATTTTAAGGGCCTGGTTTAGGGAGAAAATAGCCCAGCTGCAAATCCACTGTCCCCACATATGTTGTTTTCCTGATAGCAAGGCCTGGATTTATCATCTCCCTCACTTTTCCTTGTTCAAGAGAGTTTGTCGGGAGAGGGAGAGAGAGAGAGAGAGAGAGAAAAAAACAGCTCCCCAACAAATTATGATACCTGAGAGAAATACAAGAGAGGTAGGAATGGAAAGATTTCTTCAAGCAGATTAGGTGGGTGGAGGGCAAGCAGGAAAAGGTCAAGCCTCATAAACTCCTGGCAATTTTTCTCTCTCTTTTCCTTTTCTCAGCGTGTGAGGTGGGGGGCAGGGAAGATGAAGTAGCTTCCAGCTGGTTTTCATCATTATCCTCAAGGTTTTTGCAAGATTTTTATTTGGCCACCCCCAATGATAAGTCAGGCCAATATATTATCCTGCAAAAGAGACCATATGAATCAAGAGAGCAAAGAGATTCCACTGTATTATTACAAGACTACTGAGCAAGAAGAAAATAAGGCGATGTGAAGATTTGATTCAACATAATTTACAAACAGGCTTGACTTTCTGAGTTGGATCGTTGATTTGGATGAAACTGTTGAATCAAACCAGTAGCCTCCAGATGGTTCTGACAGTTTGATGTCTTTTGTTTGTGTGCAGAAAGGCCCTCCATCAAATCCAAATAAGATCTCCTGAATTCATGAATCCAGATTGGAAATCCAAATCAAATCAGTGATAGACCTGAATCAAATCAATTTATCAAATCAGATTTGACTTGATCTTCACACCCTTAATAAAAAGGCCAAACAGTGAATATGAGGAGAAAATGAGAGAAAGAAGGAACAAATTAGAATAAGAATAAACAAATTTTCTCTGGTCCTGGAACAGAAGCACCAAGAACATTGCAATCATTATGCAGAGGTAATCACCTACTAATGATAGTTGATATAAATGCAAGACCAATCCTATCATTGGGCAATTTGAAGCAGTCGCTTCAGGAGGCAGATGTTGGGAGATGGTACCAATGTATAGGAAGAGAGATAGCTGTGAACTTTGTAGTTTGCCATGTGCCCATTGAACTACAGCACTGCTTCTGGGGTTGCAAGGACACTGTCCAACACCATGATCAAACAAAGATTGAACTGGTAGATCTGTTGACTTTTATATATGGAAAGTGAGGGGAGGCACTTTCTTGTTCATCTTAGGCAGAATATCTTAGCCCAGCCCTATTTTAGGGTCACAGAAAGACAGTCCATGAATATTGAATTGCTTTATTGTTGCTGTTGTTATTATTGTTATTATTATTACATTTTTACAACCAGGGAAAGGAAGAGGCATTCGTAGGCTTTTCTGACTTATTTGCAGAAGATGCTTCCCCATGGTTAATTGAGCCATGGTTTACCCAAACTCATGGTCATACATAACACAGTGACTCATAGGTTCCCTGTGTTGAAGGAGCAGAGGTTTGTGAAATCCTCAAAGTATAGGGAAATCAAAGGTGTAAGGGTTCCTATCTACAGGGGTTCCAATTCAGGGGACCATGGTTTTAGAGGGTCCTGGCAGAGAAGCTCAGGCTGATCTTGGTTACAGGTTAGCATCCAATACTGCTGGTCATTTGTGCACTGCTAAAAAAATAAAGGGTGGTGGTGGAATGGACCACCACCTGAATAATTTCTCCTTTTCAAAGCTTGGGTAGTCAGCCTAGATCTTTCCTAATTTAGGAAACCTCCCTTTACTTGAACAGGTTTGGTTTCTGATATCACCATACAAATATTGTCCCTCAGATTCTTTGTTTGGATACAAGAAACTGCAGCTGCCTGTTGATGCATTTCATCCCCAGTTGTCTTCACCTCCATCAGTAAATCAAAGTAGGCAATGAATGTCTCCTCTCAAAACAGAGCTAAGCACAGAAGACCCAACTTAATTCCATCTTGTCATATCGAACACTGCCTGGTCAAATGGTCTTGGACTTCATGGTGGTGTTGGCACAGTGACCTTCACCAGAGCAGGTAAAGATGTATCAGATGAATGCACATACAATGTGTTAAGCTTGACTAGTGTTAACCCTTAACCTTCAT